GCCATGGAGACCCTCTCCCAGGACTCTCTGCTGGAGTGCCAGATTTGCTTCAACTATTACAGCCCCCGCCGGCGGCCCAAACTGCTGGACTGCAAGCACACTTGCTGCTCGGTGTGCCTGCAGCAGATGAGGACCAGCCAGAAGGACCTGCGGTGCCCCTGGTGCCGCGGGATCACCAAGCTGCCGCCGGGGTACTCTGTGTCGCAGCTGCCCGATGACCCCGAGGTGATCGCCGTCATTGCGATCCCCCACACCTCGGAGCACACCCCTGTCTTCATCAAACTCCCTAGCAACGGGTGCTACATGCTGCCCTTGCCCCTCTCCAAGGAGAGACCGGAGAGGCGTTGTGAAAAGCTCCACCTGGTCAGGGGTTTGCACTGTCATCCTGGTGGCCTGCGTCCTGGTCTTTCTCCTGGGCATCGTCCTCCACAACATGTCATGCATTTCCAAGCGCTTCACGGTGATCTCCTGCGGCTGAGGCGGGGAGAGGGTGTGCTCCCCCGGGGGTTGGGTTGGGTTGGGTCCGTGGTGGTGGTGGTGGTGGTGGTGGTATCGAGCGAGACAATTCACGGCAGCTTTGCCCAATGACTGCAGGACGCTGTGCACCAGGGCAGCGACATGCCGGCCCGACCGCGGCCCCCAGCAGCCCGGCCTCAGGCCTCTGGGCAGCGTGCGGAGAAAATCACGTCCCGTGTCTGGCGGCAGTGGCACTGAGGAGGACTGCATGCATCACCATAATCATTTATCAAAGGGACTGCAACTTACAGTGATTGTTTTTTTTCTTCATCGTGTTACGAGATTAAAGACATCTATGTAGCTGGTTATACTGTAAAGTATATGGTATGAGCTCTTCTCTAAACACAGTAGATTAAAATCCAAACTGCTCCACGTAGAATTAAAGGAGAATTGGTGCGCGACTCTGTACAAGGTGTTCAATACCCCACATGCATTTATTTTTTAACGGGGGGAGGGAGGGAGACTTGTAAAACCAAGAAATCATTTAGCTGGTAAGGCATTTTATATGTTTTAAACAGTGCATTAATTGAACCAAGTTAGGAAATTGTACAATAGTTTTTAAAAGGAAGCATTTTACAAGCAGTCATTTTGTTCTGTGGTGTGTGTGTTCTGTCTCTCTGTTTTTCTTCATTTTTTTCAGCTACAGGGAAGTGGCACTTCCAACATCTTTTATTTGAAGGAGCTTCCGAGCAGGGAAGCAGAGTGGGCTAGGAGGAATACCTAAAAATGCAGCCGAAACACTTCTGCCTAACTGGCTTTACACAAAGGTTCGCTTTGAACAGTAAACACTGGACATGTTTTACCTTTGATCTGGCAGCAGGGCTTCCTGATGACTAGCCTTCGTAGCCATTAGTGAAGAAATGGGCCATGAGAAGTCCTAGGACTCCTTCCTGCAAGGACGTGATAGAAAATTGTTGTTCTTTTTCTTTCTCTAGAGGTTGGGTTTTCTTAATTGTTTTTAAAGAATTTAGACCTATTTTGCCTCCCTCTTTCCTAGGTGTTGCAACTGTGCACCCATGGATGGTGTAACACAGGAGTTGCTCTAAGGAAGCCTCACCATCCCTACTGAGACCAAGGACCCTTATGTGCAGGCATCTAGTAAGAGGCAGTGACATAGCTGGGAGGAGAACCCAGGCCAACCTAACCCTCTACTGGTTGGGCTACCCCTCCTAAACTGCTGTGGGTGTCCTGGTCTGAAAATGTCTGGGTGAGCATAATGGAGCCTTTTCCCACATTTCAGTCTTATAAACGTTGGTGTTCGTAAGGGCAGATTTGAAAAAACCCACAGGAAGTGTCTCCCTCCACCTGTGGGTGTCATGAAACCCCAGGCATTTGCAGTTCACTTCTTGGAAAGAGCCAAATTCCTGAACATTCACTGCAGTAGCGCCTTGCTCTAAGCTGTCCCGCTAGCTTTAGTAGTACTGCTTGTAAGTAAAACACAGCTCAGTGTGAATTTGGGTATTTGGCAAGTCTGAAAGCTGAAATTTGTGTGAGATTTAGGGATCGGATCAAGGGGCAAGTGACAGACTTTTATTAGTAAGACAGTAAAAAGCTATTGATTTACACTGGTTCTTTTTCCAAGTACAAAGCGTAACCTCCCTGAAGCGTGACCTACTGCTCTTTCTAATAATTAATCAGAGATCGCTCAATGCCATATTATAACACTGGAGAACATAACTTTGACTATGCAGTGCCTAAATTGGCCCTGTAGACATCGGTGGTTTTCTGGTTATGTCACAAAATCCAGTTGCTGGTTCACAAGAAACATTCTTAGCTGGGACTTCTGTCAGGAACATACCTCTAACTTTGTGCTGGATTTCTTCCCCTCCCTGTTCCCAAACCACCGTTTTTGTCCTTGATTCCTGTTAACTGAAGAATGGCATATACGGTGCTTAATTGTTACGGCGTGTGTTGGGTCATGTATGGAAAGGAACCATTGTGCTGGTTTTTATCTACTGTTATATGTATGCATAGCACAGCAAAAAAAAAAAAAAAATCCTCAGATAACACATTCAATGCCTTTTTCGTGCAAGGCCCCCCGTGCAGTATGCCTTGAACCTGGCTTACGAGTATTGTACTTAACGTGTACACCTCTCCGCGGCATGTTAAATTTGGTTGCAGTAGGGAACAGCGGGAATTCCAAAATGTGTCTTGTGAACGTCCTAGTCTCTTCTTGCCAGTAGGTAGCCAGATTTCTACTGACATCCATGCTACGCTGCTTATTGTGTAAAGGAAAGCCAGTTCACAAAAAAAACGCTTGCCTTTATAAGACTCTTGAGGAAGTGACCAGATGCAGGACTCGACCCTCTACTGCCTTATCCCCTGTAGCAATTACTGGGTGTACCAGGAGCGTATAGCGTAGCTGGAGGATGCTCCGAGAACAGCGCTGATGCGTTTTTCACCAACTTCTGCATTTGTTAATCTGAGTTGTCAATGACTGCACAAAACCACGAGGCAGTCAAAGAGCAGGTCCTGGAGATACATACAGTGCTGGTAGCGTTAACCTCCTTCTGGCTGTACCTGCCCAGCTGAAGCTCTTGAGGCCGAGGTTTCTCTGGCGTTGCAGAGAATGGCTGTCTTGGACACCACCCCTCTTCGTCCCTATGTGGAGGGTACAGTATGAAAGAGAAATCAGAAATTAGGTTAAAATACCGCACTGCATAACACATTATGCAACAGGCAGACCTGGAGTTTATCCGGTATTAATGACGTAAGTATTATATTAGCAGAATACCATCCTGTATTACGTGACACAGTACATTGTTTCGTTAATATGAATTTCCTGTACTTTTTGTGCCTGCTGAAATGCATGTTTGACCTAATTTCTGATCCAGACATTTGCCTGCTCACAGCCTTGTGTAAGAGCAATAAGTAAAACCTCAAGATTTTTGTCTGCGTGCGCGCGCGGCGTGTACATTCATTCCTTTTTATAAATAGGAGTTCCAGAGATGATTTTGTTCTGGCTTTAGACTGTGACTATCATTTTAAATTTGCAGCTGCCATATCATGTTGGATCACCTAGCTTTTTTGCTGACTTGCGTAGAAGTGAGCTAAATAGTTTGTTGTAATGTACAGTGTTCAAACGTTTCTCAAGTATGTCGATAGTCATACTACTTTAAAAATGCAGTGCAGTCTGTCCCATTCCTTGGTCTAGTACCTGTCATTAAAAAGTGATACTGCTATATACACCTCTAACTTTTTTTTTTTAAATTTAATTTTTTTAAAAAAGCAGCCTTGTCTTTGTAATTTTTCTCTGTGGAGAAACACATTTCGACTTGTGTCAAAATCATTGGGTTCTGGGCTAGTTTTTGTTCTCTGATGTCCAGTAAGAAATCACTGCCCAGTTCCACCCAAAAAAGAAGGAAACTTCACTGTGACTCCAGTACTGTATAATCAACCAAAATTTATGCTAAAACTTGTGGCTAATTACTCATGCACCTGCATTTTTAGAGCAAATTACTCTGTATGAATGTGTATTTATTTGCTTGTGTAATGGGAAGGATGTGTATGTTGGGGTCCAGCTTTGGGGTTTTTTTTGTGGAGGGTTCCAACTCCCATTTTGGCTTGTGCTTTCTTGGCAAACAGACTTTAGGGTTCACTCTGTGAAATTTTATTTAGTGAATTTTAAAAATTCAAAATATGCAATTTTGGTATGCGGGATTTTTTTAGAAAATTGTGTCTTCAGTAATTGTTCATGCTTAACGAAGATGTAAAGGAGCCTGGATGTTTTGTAAACATGGAGCAATCATGAGTCCAAAGTTTCATCTTTATTAATGAAGCTCAGTCTGAATAAAACATTAGCAAGAAAAGAATTGATATCAAGTGAATTATGGTACCTCTGTTACTTTGCCATCAAATGGAGAGCATGGAAGGGAATTTGGCAGAATTGCTCCATATTTTATGAGGGGGTGGCTGAAATTCAACACTTAGCGTTTTAAGGCAAAGTGTTAACTGTGGACTGTGGTAAATAGTATAAAGGTTTTTCATGGCTTAATTACCTTAGAATACAGAATTACAGCTGATGACTACTCAGCCACACAACAGTTGTTTGGTTGGTTTTTTTTTTCTTTTTTCCGTTTTAATCAGATGACTTAAAAGTTTTAAGTAAACTTTTTGCTTATGGAAGTGAGGGATTAATGGCCTTGACTTAAGCATGTATTGTACAGACTGGCACGCCGGCTCCCCCTTCCCCTCGAGCCCCCCCTTCCCACTCATGTTATTATCACTGGAGCCCTGGGCAGCCAACCTTTCTAATACTGCAAACGCTTTTCTGGAGTAGAGATGGCTGACGTTGCACTGGGTTTGTTAACATTCACAACAGGGCTAAACCAAAACCAAACAATTTGTACGTGATTTGAGCTCTTCTGTTAGGTGTCCCAGTCTACTGTGTAAACTGCTCCAAGCCTCTGTGTTCCCTGGATCTTCTCGAAGCGGAGGATGTTGCCTCCTCCCACCCATAGGAAGGGGCTGTACCCACCATCCACAGCTAAACTGCCCCCGGGGAACATGGCCTGCTGGCACAAGACCCTTGCAGCGCATACCGCAGGAAACGTTTTGCATGTCAAGTGAACACCTCTCAAGTAAATATTGGGGTTGAAACGCTTCCTTATCCTAGTTGCACAGAAAGCGTGGCTTGAGATTTGTCTTTTCCAGACTTTTTCTATGGGTGGATGGAGGTGGGGGGAGGGAGAGAAGGCACATGGCAGCAAATGAGTCCCAGCATCATCTGGGAGACTGTCGGAAGGATCTGCTGGCCCTGAAGGCAAAGGTTTTTGTGCAAGAGCTTCAATAGGGCAAGACTGTCTGGAAGTGCTGCAACGGATTTACAGCATGTTAGTGACCTTTCTGGTGCTGTACACTGTCCGTAGGCCTGACAGCTGGGACTGTTGTGTTCCTTCTCTTTGTCACTTTGCCTCTTGCATGCCCTTGTCAACAAGCAAAGCTGCTTGCTTCTTCCTCAAGTTGCAATGATTTTACAGACAT